GGAGTGACGAGAGCAAGTGCGTCATTATATGCGCTCGATCTTCGGTACTCGATTATGTAATCACTTCGATATATTGTTTAAAAGTAAAACCAAATTATTTTATAAGTCTGACAGAGTGATTGTTATCAATATTAATATATATAATTGCATATTATCTTACTAGAAGTATTGTAATTAACTTACAAGTATAATGTATTACTTTTATGACTATTATAATCAATCAACTATTGTTACAAATAACTTATAATATAATTTTAGCAGATTATAATAAGAGTTAAGTGCTTGTATCTCACATGTAATGTTGTAATAATACTATTAGTAAGCTTACTTGCTCTAAAACATGTTTGTAGTTTAATAGAAACTTTGTATATTTCTTACATTTATATACATTCATTATAATTACATTACAAGTAAAATATAAGTATTATTTTAGAATATAATGCTTATGAAATCATTTTATTAGATTACTTTTGCTATTATTAAATACATTTGTTGCGACTTTTTCGTGATGTATCCGCTTTTATAAACTAAGAATGATCAAGGAATATTTTAGTCTGTTATCAGAGTGTTACTTTTTCTAAATTATTGAAGCGTACCCGCTTCCTTTTTGCATCTGCACATGCCCTTGCATGTGTACCGGTGAACAAGATTTGGGGATATGGCTCTACCCAATGCCTGCTGTCAGTATGTGCAAAGTACATGCTTCTATGAGTACGTATCTATTTAAAATTTATACTCCTGGCATTTTATTTTCTATTTTCATTAGCTCTGTAGAGATAGTACAGTGTTTCCGAGTGCATGCCATACGATTACCAGTATATCAATGTTACTACTATGATTCCGCTTGTCTGATACTGATTATACATCCCATTGCTGTTTCTGTACTGCAAGTTTCTAGGCCTGGGTTATTGGATTGTACGACTGACCTGACATAGGTCTGGAAGCTATAAAATTACCTTTGTCTCATCATCCCGATGCAGGTGGCTCCTTCTCATAAGCAACCAGCAAGATTCGTGAAGTCTCCACACCTTTGTGCGAGAAATCATTCTCTCAAGGTTTCAAGGGTGCACACTTCTTTCTCAGTTTGTCATTGCCACATTGCTTGTTGCCACTATTGCATTTGTCTGCTGACATGCAAAGCTTGTATGTATGAACATATATAAGCAGGGTAGGATGGTCTTCATCTCCGGAACAATCACTACACGAGACTGTAATCGAAAGACAGGCAATGAGTGAAACACAACATCACAGGTCAGCATCTGATAGGAATAGAGTACTACAATGTGGATCAGACACAGAACGCGAATATACCAGAATATTGGGCTGTATAGACAAGTATCTTGAACGTCTATCGAGGGAAGATACATTAATACGTCAAATCGAAACTATGCTTAAGATGAGTGAAGCAAGAGCAGTTCGTCATAACATAACTCGGAGTCTGCTTGGCGATGCTACCACAAACGATCTCAAGGAATGCCTTGACGAAATGATAAGACGATGTGAACCTGAACAAGTGCCTAAACTGAATAAAGTTCTGCAGGACATTTCTGGAATGATCAGCGAAACGTCACGGTTAAAGGCAGAGTTAAATTTTTGGCGGGGGCAGTGGGTGAAACAAAAGAAGAGGAACAAATCGGATAGGACAGCAAACGAGAAGTTGGTCGGGGAGATGAAAGAGAAGTTCAAAGAATACAGTCGGGAGGACGTTTAAGATACTCGTTAACTCATACATGACCAGTGGCACGTAGTAGTTTTTGATGCCAAATAAATCATGTACAGTACTCAGATTGTTGGGATAAACAGTAATAACAATGTATCGAAAACTTTCACCATTTAGTACACATCTCATGCCAAAGCCCTACTCTGTTTACAATGGACTGTAGTAAAGTCAGGCCTGGCGCGAACCTGCTAAGCGGCTCAGAGATGCCACACCATCAGACGTGACAGGAAAGGTCTCCGAGAATGTGGTGCAGAGTCCACTAGTCAGTTTCTTACCGGTGAAAAAGAAACTTACTTATTAAAACCACCTACTACTCTTCCCAGCCCAGAATCATCCGTTAACACAAATTTTGCGTTCATGTGAGCACTCGTAATAAGCATAAACCTTGTATTGGGAGCAGTGGAACATCTGTCTGATCGAGGCTACAATGTTTTTAATCAGACAAATCTAGAACCGCCATCGGCCTCAATTCGTTTGATCTACAATGTAGCCGCACCTACAACCACCAAGTGATGCCGAGCATCGTGCGTGAGGAGATAATTCTAGCTTACTTCATGAGAACAAGTACGCCTCAGCAACCTCATCCGCTTCAGCCATATGTCGCGCACAGGAACTTTGCAGTTTCGTCAAAGATTTGATCTGGATTGATGGGATGCTGTCCCAGAACTATGCATTCGCACGAGATAAGGGAATAGCAAAGGGAATAGCAAAGTTATTTATCGATATTTGCGGTAAGTTACAGATCTCGACACTAGTACTAATGACGGTAGTGTTCGATAGACCAGGAGTAACGACATTCTCCAGGACGCGTGCAAGGTCCACTGCGAGTCCTTAACGTGCGGAGTGCCACGCAGCTCGTCTTCGCGTCAACATGCATCGCCAGTCGCTCGCCAAAGCAGTCCCGAAGAGGGATTGTGATAAATCAGATCATGAAGGAAGTACGCAAGCGCCTAGGAAGGAGCCGCTTTGCCTTATCTCGGTCTCGCGGTGCGAGAGACGTGCAGGTGTGGCATACGCAGGGAACTTATGGATGAACATGGTGAGGAGAGGAAACCAAAATTGGAAAATCGGGGGTTGCCTTGAGGCGGATCACGTCGATCGGACATGGCTCATGCTGGGATCGATTGCTAACCAACTCTGTCCACATCCTCGGTCTTCCTTCGACGACAACACGATAATTCTGCTCTGCTGCGTAGCACTATGTCTGCGTGCTCTCTCCGATGACTCTCCTCGGAAACCACGTATGTATATTGCCTACTACCTCGCAGATGAGTACCTAAATTTATTGTCCTATAGATGTCCTGCAAGCATGCTGCCTTAAGTACCGCGTCTCCCCGTCTAGCCCACAAGGCTCTAGAGATGCCCATGCAGAAACTTCGACGTTGGCTCAAATTCAGAGAAGACGCGAGCCTTGAGGATGGGTGCAGGGTCAATATCCGAGGATGTGATCTAATATCGCACCGCGTCCTCCGATATGGATCTTTAATGCAACTGAACTACCTCGTTCAGCTTCTTCTGCCCCAGACTGACCAGCAAATCCCCGACTACTGAGGAGATTTCCAGGAGATTCTGATTGATGATGGTCTGAGCTTCACTTACGTGTCAACGTGTGCCGACTTGATTACCCGGATTGTGTTGTTCTTTGACTCCGACTGGAATACTGTTCTCTGAACTCGTTGACGTGGAGGCGCTGGGAGCTTCTTATCTGCGATGCGAACATATCGCATGATTTTCTAATCTTATCTGCTAGGATTGCTACTGACCATGGTCCTATTATTGGCCCAGAATCCCTCCCATACTACCTCGCCGGCCCGTTGATACTGCTCGCATGAGAGTCGAATTTCCTTTGAAGCCCATTGCGAACCACATCGCAATTACGACTTATCGCCTCGTGAGAGCTGCTGAACATTGTCTCGGATATAGAACGTCCGGAAAAACAGATCGGAAGAACCACAACTTGCAACTTATTGAGCTGAGATCGTTCCATGAAGACGCGCAATAAGGATCAATGCGCCGAGCGAGTTTCTCAAGCAACTTGGCGTTGCCTAGCACTTACTCTACGATCTCATCAGCATCTAGCTTTCCTTGATTGATTACCGTTCCAAATTCGTGTATTGGCATTATACCAGAATAGTAAGTACACTAGTTCTGTGACAAGAGACTTTCAATCTGTCTTAAATTACTTCTTGCTGTAAATGCAGGAGCTAGTCTGAGTATAATCATTTACCTTACCCAATTTGAAAACAGTGAGGCTACTAATATACTTTCTGTATTGAGTTAAGCATAGACTGACATAGAGTGGTTCAGTTGTCATTACAACTCTTGTACCAGGTATTGAAGCATGTGTAATCTACAGTTATGCTCTACACAGACAGTTACTAGTAGAAACTAGCTCTTGGTGAGTGTCAACTCTACACAGCTCTGCTTTCTTTTAACATTGCACAGGGGTATACCTGTGGTGTATAGGATGGTTTTACTTTGCCTGGCCCTCTATAAGGCAGCAGAGTCCTGGAAAATGTCACACAGATTCAAAGGTCTTTCCCTTGTCAAGTTTCTCATTCAAGGCCAAATCTTGTATTATCTCTTGTGAGTCAAACATTTGTGCATAAATTATTTTGCTCAAATTATTGCAGTGTGGTGTTTTGTTGCATTTCAAAGATGATTAGTGCTCGATTTTTGCATATTAATGATATTCTCGCAACCTTTCTGAACGTAGCAGGAAAACCGGCCCTTCTTTGTGTCCTTGGTAGTCATCTCCTGATCAATCTGAAGGAGGCCGGCGAGAGGGGCGTAAACGGAGGAACCAATGACAGATCAAGGACTGTCAGTGACATAGAATTTGCCGAAGGTATTCGTACCGTGCCACTGCTCCATTTGATTTTACTAATTGCTCGCAGGTGCCCCAGCGGCAGGCTCAAACGAGGATCGGGATGGCTTGTCTAGTGCATGATAATTCTCATTTATCTGTCACTCTGTATGTCAACCAGGGACTATTGTCTTTGCAATGCTTTCGTATTAGTATGAGATTGTGATTCCCATCATCAATCCGACTGTCGTATTTAACGCCTCTATTCCGATTTTTCACAATGTAAAGTACAGGATTGTTTCAAGAAGTTACTGATTATGCTTTGGTTGACCTTTGTCTTTGATTCCTGGATACCAATCAGAAGAATATTATTTCTGGCATGTTTCGTACTAGTATCGAAATGTATTCCTATCGTCAATTCAGGCGTCATCCTTGACGTTTTTAATCTGATTTGTCTTAAATGTTCTGCGAGGAAAGAGCACATACGATTGCTTATTACCGCTTGGTATTACAGCCAAGCTGTTCCCACGACTACATCGGTTGAGAGATGACTAGCCGAACACAGCCAATTTGACCCCAGCATCGTCGACAAAGCGGGCTCATCGGATGGAATACTGCCGAAGATGCCTCTGACGATATTCTCGTTTACTCATATCAGCCGCACCCGCTGATGACCTATTTGCAATCTTCCCACACACTTAAAACCATCTAGTCCACTTGACATGCCTCTGTCTTCTTCTTTCGAGGCCTCCCTCGTGCCACTACTGGCAATATTTGTTCCGTCTCTCCTTTTTAGTCAGCAACACAAAAGGCGTACTTGAATTTGTTGATACGGTGATACGGACAGCGAGAAGACATGACAACCCTTGCAGGCAAGACGATTCTCATTATCGGAGGCTCTTCTGGGATAGGATACGCCGTGGCGAAAGCTTCTCTCATCGCTCAAGCTGATCATGTTATCATCGGCTCGTCAAATCAGCAGAAAATCCGCGCGGCAATTACTAGACTGGCGACGGAATTACCCTCGACCGGAGCTGCTGTACAGGGAAAGCTGACGGGTGAAATCGTTGATGAGAAAGATTCCGCGTCGATACGAGCTCTATTCGCCAGAGTAGGAGAAGTAGACCATTTAGTATGGAGAAGTGGCGATAGGCTTCGTTTGGGATTTCCTCGTATAGATCTGGACGAGAACAAAGGTGCGTCGTCCGTCTTTCCAGGTATTCTTTGCGAAATACTGAAGTAGCATATAATCATCCGTATTGATCAGACTCGTTCGATGCACGATTTTGGGGCCCGTTCGCAGCTGCTCAAGTTGCTCGAATTCGTCCAGGAGGATCGATTACCTTAACCATTGGTGGAGCAATCTCTAGGCCCCGAAAAGGATGGTCCCTCATGGCAGGAGTTTTTGGTGCTGTCGACTCGTTAATTCGAGGTCTTGCTGTAGACCTTGCCCCTATCCGCGTAAACGTCGTCAGCCCCGGTTTAGTTAAGACGGAGGTTTGTCTTTGTCTCTCCTTCATCAATCTTCTCCCGCCCCAAGCTAATAATAAACATTTTATTTTCTATGGCATTATGTAGCTTTGGGACGGACATGCTCCAGAAGCCAAGAACAAGATTTTAGAAGACACAGCGAAAAATCTCTTAGTGCAACACGTCGCCGACCCAGACGAGATCGCTGAGGCTTACATATTTCTAATGAAGTGAGCATACAATGCTGTTCCTCGCGTAGTACTCTCCGAGCCCGAACTGACTATGATCGCTTTACACAGATGCGGTTATATAACTGGACAGCGCATCGAAGTGGACGGAGGAGCTAAATTAGTTTGATTGGACCTTTTTTTCTTATTTCACATATCCTTTGATGAATATCTTTCGATGAGTAAGGCCACGATGCATATATCACGAATCGTGGTCGTTTCTGCGGAAGGCGTCCTGCGTCTGCGGAACGGCGCCTTCCACCCCTTTAAATTAGTTATGAGTAATACTTTGGCGCTTTCGTGTATGTATCGATTACACGGATGGAGCTAGCTGCGACACCTAGATTTTTTTCCCCTTCGGCGCCCTATTTGGATGTTTGATGTTTTGTCATTGGTAGTTATCTCATGCATGTCGAATTAGTTAATTGCGATTCCTGTTTGAGTATACATTGTGCAACTTTGCTTATGTCATATTACAAGTTTGACATCGCAAACAGTTTGAAACACCTGTTTGAGTATTTCGACTCTGTGCCTCCATTAACAAGCAATGAAACAAAGGCGTAATATCTGTTCTTGGAACTTGCCCATCTACCACTGGCTGCACGTTGCTTTTCGCTGACCAACCATATTAGCTAAAAAAGTTTAAAATCCGGATCCGGCATGCAGTTTTGTCCTCAGAGTTTATCGGGGGTCTCAGAACAAGTGGCACTAGCGTTAGACTGCTCATTGCTCATCGCGCAGTTGTCGCCCCTTTCCGTTTCTGATGGTGAAAATTAACATTGTGAAATGGACTAGTGTTCTCAACTGCGGGCTGACCCTGTCTTCTTTGTACGGCTACAAATATGTGTGCACATCGATAGCCAGGTATCCCTGAAGTTGTCTGTGTCCATTTGAAAGAGTACGTGTCAAGTATTAACTTGAACTTGTGTTCTTGGCTAGATTATTGATGACAATCACAGTGTCAGATGCTCAAACCAATACGCAGGTACGCTCCTTGCAATGTTCCTTCAGCCAACCAAACGGTCCGATGCACGACATAGCAAATCGAATGGAAGAAAACTGCTACTCCTCTTACTGTCAAACAGATCCTGAATGCTTCCCAGCTCTATGATGGAGCTGATATCACTCTAGACGGGCGGAAGCTTGGCTGTGTCTACTGTGTAGGCAACGTCCAAAGCATTAGAGTTGAAGAAACCTACGCAGTGCTCGAAATTGAAGATGGAACTACTAGTAGTACTAGAAGCCTTTCAGCTGTTGTGTTTGAAGACGAAAGAGGCCTCTTGACTGCATTTAAGTGTATGAAGGATGAGGGGAAGATTGAGTACGTGTATACACTTCATCGGAGACAGATGCCTAACTTTCTCGTTTGCCTTGACTAGAGAAAAAAAGTACATATGTGTATTCGGGGGAATTCGCATTACACCCAAGTTCAGAAACTCGATTAAAACCCGCGGGATTTCTCGTGTTGAGGATCCACATCAGATATTCTACCATTTCTTCGAATGTGCAATTGCTTATATGGTATGACAAGGTCTTCCTCACTATTCTCACTTGCCAGATAATTTCATTCTCTTCAACTATATAGGAATGTAAGAAATCACTGTCAAGTATGGAAGATGACGAAAGGGAACAGGCAGCTGCTCAAGAAAACCCATCTTCCGAGCCAGGAAACAGAGACACAGCTTCGAAAGACGAGGAAGAAGAGGAGCAACCACCTCAAGAGCCACCAGAAATTTCACAGTCAGACGAATCTTCGGACGACGAGGTCGAGTATGCGGACGATAACCCGGTTTCGATCGAGGATAGCAGCTCTGATGAAGACGAAGACCATGATGTGAAACAGAAGGCAGAGGTCATGTCTACAGACGACTCCAATTCCAACACAAGCAAGGAAGAGGATGATGAGACAAATCCGACACCAGTTTGTACTTCTACTCGGACTCAATCTCAAGCCGCCTTGGAAACACAGACAGAGACTGAGGTAGACAATGTTCCGTGCACGGAAGGCACAGACAAGGAGTTGAAGTAAGTCTTCACTTTTATGTCCAAAGGTCAAGGCATCATATTCTGATGTACAATTCGTTATTCAATTTTGTTTTCCAGGAATGTTGAAGGAACACTCAAGAAATTACATCTTACTCCGGCAGATCACTCTGCCGCATCTCCAGACGCCGTACCACAAGTACAACCGCCTCGTGCACAATCTCAGCCTCAAGCCAATACAGACCCACTGTCGGGTTTGACGAATGTCCAACGCGTAGTCATCCTTCACATCCAGCAGAGGCGTGACCAAATATGGGCCGAAGGCGAAGAAGACTGGTTTGGTCTACACGTCTCCGAGTTGGTTCGTGTGGTTAGAAGACTTGAAAAGGGTATCACTGCTTCTGAGATCAGGTAAAAGGATGTTTTCTCATTGGTCTGGTTGAAAATTAAATGGCTGAGTTGCTATCATTGAAGTGCAATGTTGGACGACCTCATCGAGAATGGCCATATCCACACGACCATCGATGAGCTGTATTTCGACGTTCCCTACGTTTGACGACTCGATGATATCGCCGCTACATCGAGCCTTAGCCTAACCTTAAGCCTAAACGGAGCAACCAGCTTCACAGATCTGTCAATGAGTAGAGAGAAGGAAGGTGTCATTGCATCTATCTAGTACAATGAATTTGAGCATGAGTGTCAGAGATTGAAACAGCAATAGATCGATATGTTGTATGCTAATGTATGAATGATAGACGAAGATAAAAGAAGTTTGAGAGGGGATTAATTGGTTGGGCTTGAACTGGACGTGACATCAGCAGGGGCAACAGGCATCTATAAGTCATAACACTGTCACGAATTTGTTGTGCAAAGCAAGTTCGCGAGACAAACAAAGAGTAATGACGTTGGCATAAGCAGACGAGAAATCATGATTCGTGAAGTATTTTTACTGCAGATGAGTCGTTGCCACCTTCGTGATACCCTTTGCTACGCCCTCAATAACGCGCTTACGTGAGTCGCAGACACGCTTGGCGATATCCACGAGGGCATCGTTATCGAACTAGGAAGGAGCCATAAGATAAAAAACTCGAACCAAAACAAAGCAAAAGGAAAAACGCACTCCGGGATAGTCCTGAATTAGCTTGCAAGCAGTTACGAACGCACGCCGAGCCTCAGCAGTACCCTCGTGAGCACCTATCTTCGTCAGCTCTGCTGACATCTCCTTGAGTGCCGATACAGCTTTTTGACGAAGCGTTCTCAGGCTCGTGGTTAACTGCATATTATTACACATGAGCGCGTGAGTGTCGACATACGGTTGTCAGAATCACTCACTGCACCGAGTTTGTTTTGCTTTACGACAGCAGGAGTCTTAAAGCGGAGTGATACAAGGGCAAGCATAAGTGCCGCCTGACGGAGCATTAGCAAACAGCCATCAAGCACGAAATGGCAGTGGTACCTCCTGAGTGAGTGTAGCAACATGGAGTGCCTCCCAAGGAAGATGCTTTTCTCCAATAAGCACTTTAAATCGAGCAGCCATAGCTACAGGTAACGGGTCAGAGTGAGCGTTATAGTCATTCGGTCGTGGAAATGTACCGTCAAAGTGGCCAATGACAGTCTCTGGTGCATCCTTCACAGGTGGAGGCTCCTCGCAGACCTTCTTCTGTCCATTCGTCGGCGGCGATGGCGACCCGTTAGGCGAAGCCCTCGCTGCTTTGGAAGTCGCCGCGGCCTTTCCGTTGCGCTGTTGCTCTTGAGCTTTCGTAGCTTCCGCAAGGACGGTCTCCGGTGGCGGACGAGCATGGTTGTGGTAAGGTGTTAGCCAGTCGCATAATGCTGAGACGTATTCGAAAAGTGAACGTTCATCAGTGGATAACTGCGTAGTGAAATCATTATAATCATACGCAAGGAAACGGTCGTGAATAAAATTCAAACCTCGTTCAGCTCTTCTTCCTTTCGTAAGTGGATGCGCTCCCGCAGCGGGATTTTGTTCTCTGGGATATCTGCGACTTTTGGTCGATCACCAATGAGCAGCTTCTCCTCGACGGTGTCATCGATGTCACTCGCGAGAAGGAAAATACGGATGTAGATACGTAGGAACGTCGTGAGCCAGCCTAGCTGAACAAAATGAGTCAGTAAAGACGTGGAGGCTCACAACAACATGAAAACAAGGGTTGCACTCACGCCTGGTGAATTGATCAGCAGTGTCTGGTCGTTGAATGTCGGTTGTCCGCGTGGCTGATAGTTCGGGAGGACATCAAAATCGCGATTATCATGGTGTGCTATGTTGAGTGAAATATGTCTGTATTAGTTCCTATTGCTACGAGCTTATCAGAATTACACATACTTCGATCAAAGATGAACTTCAGCTCGATAAGTTCCATATCGACGAGGTCTTGCGAAAGACCCTCATGTGCGAGTCGCATCCGAACATGTTCAATCTTTACCAGATCTCTTTGCAAAGAGTTGTCTAGGCGTTCCTCAAAGTCGATCAGATCAGGAATCTGTAACGCCATATTTAAATGATTTATAAGAAGGTAAGCTTCGTCACACTGACCTGGGAATACTTCTCCTGAGCAAACGCCCGCACGATGAATTCTGAAGTCTGCAAATTTCAAACTAATTCAATATCGGTGTAATTTGCGTACTTTGTGAGCGAGACACATACATCCTGTGAATTAGAAGCGTAGATATTGCTCGCTTCTACGCACTCCGTAGTAAGTGTCAGGTCACCAGCCGCAGCAAGCGAATATGTTGACGCCCGTGCTAGTAGGAAGTGTGACAGAGTATCGGTCTGGATTTGCTTGACGCGCATTGCGCGATAGTGCTGCAGAGCAAGGGAAGACGCGGCTGTGGCACGTTTGATAGGAGTTAATCATGTTCCATAAAGATTGAAGTTCATAATTGGAGAAACGCAGTCAGGAGGTAAGTGCGCTCAGTTAGCTTTATGGGGTTGCAATAGCTATGTGAAGAGAACCAGTACGTACATAGGAGGCGGTGAATGCGAACGAGATGTAATCGGATGAGATAGCTGTTCTTGCTACGTTGCGCCGCATATTCGAGAACAGAAGCCGCCGTGTACAGCCAACTCACATTACCTGCCCATACCACATCAAAATACACCAATTCGGATATTAATTAAGAATGACTCCTAGCGCTCATTTATTAGGAAGTTCACTTACCGTCCAGCTTCCACGAGTTAACAAAGGCCTGTGCAGCAAGAAGGGCGAGGTCATCCGCAGGCTGAAGTTCCGTACTCGGAAGCTCCTTTCCAAGTGGAAGAGCGTCTATGTAAGTTCGTAGATACTCTAATGCACGAGCAGTCTCTTTCTCGACAGTTATTTCTGCCGACGGCAGAATGAACCGTTGCAGCTTGCAAATGTTTATTGAACGCTGTGCATTGACCGCTGTATCCTAGTAACAAACTCAGGGAAAGGTGAAACGGCATAGCGTAGTATAAACAGCTTACAACTTGACAGTCCTGAGAGTCGAGATATGAAGATAATTTTGAGAGCTCTTCACCCTCCAATGCGACATACGGCCTCAGGTCCTCAAAACAGGATGGCTTATCTCCAAATCGCTCGAAGTATGTTTTAATGAGCCCCATAATGCCAGTTTCCAATTCTTAAAATGATATGTCGGAAGACTTAGTACGAGAGAACTAATAATATTCGGATGTGACGCGGCGGTGAAACGCACCAAAATCATGACCGAGGTTCTGTTCCCGTGCTCGACGTTCAAATTCCAAAGACGCAAGCAAAGCACCGCGATCTCTCAGACCGTCAGACTCCGCGAGTTTACGGAATAGTTCACGAGTTTCCGTCATAATCGTTTCGGTCGGTTCCACAAATGCAGCTTCAATAACAGCAAGAAATTCGAGCCAATTACGATCCCTACATTATAATCAGCGCGTTGGCCCAGTGACTAAAATTAATAGCATACTCATTGGCTAGTTTCTCTCGCGCCCATTCCCCTTCGGCTTTGAAGTCTTTCCGTGCGCGCACGAGCTCACGCCGCACCTCATCGACAATAAGGCTTGTTTTTGCTAATGCCTTACCCTCCATAGTATCCACTAAAGCAGCCGCATTATCATACATCTCGAGAGACTTGAGAACACTTAGGTGTACGTGCAAGCGATCCGCTGATGCATGGGGAGGTATCTCAACACCCTGAAGTAGCCGGTGCGCTAGCTTCTGCAGCATTGGACGCATTGGAGGGGGTGTAGTACTGTCATTCGCCTGCAGTGTTGCTGCTAGCACAGACCAATACAAATAACGATCCCCACTAGATGCTGCAAATGACTTATGCAGACGCTGTGCAATTTGTTGAGATGCTTTCCAGTTCCCTGTGCGTACATTTGCGAAAAAGTCTTGAGCGCCAAGTTCCTCGTTTCCAGGCTGAGCACGATACGCTTCGTCATACATCGTGACAAGGTCAGAATCTAGGAGCGGGAGAACGTCGGGGTTCCGGTAAGCTAAGCGGGCACACGGCAGAAGTGATGAGCCTTACGTCTCCCTAGAGCTCGTAAAACGAGCATCATGACGTTCAACGTATCCAAGTCCGTCGGTTTATTTGCAAGGACTTCATCGCAGATAGGGAGACATTCCTCAACCTTATTTAGACGTACGATGGCAAGTGCTTTCAAGGCCTGTGTTTTCGTTAGCACGTGCGGCCATACTTTTTGCATGTACCGAGCTCACTTTGACAATATCCAATGAAGGAAACTTTTTCAAGAGCTTGTTACATTGCTGCACTGCTAACTTATTTGATCCCGAGTCGACGGCATCTGCGAGGTCATTGTTTTATTTCATTCGTGAGCAGAAGTATGACGTTCGACGCGAAAGAGAACGTGACGCGTAGCTAACCATAAATTGGGCGAATTTGACGCTCGAGCAGCACGTGGTTCATCAAGGAGACAAGGGAACGAGAGCCAGCACGAAGCTTGGAAAGAATGTTGGTTGGGAGAGAGTGCAAAGTGCGGGTAGGAGAGTGAAGAAGGGGAGTTCCGTTTGTACACACCCGAGCCTGCGTCCAAAAAGTTAGATCCTGTCGCGTGGCAAATTCTGCTTATGTCAGGAAATGCGTCTATTGGCTGGACCCGACTAACCCCGACTTCGCCCCTCCTCTCTGTCCCGTGAAGCGCCGATTTGCTGAGCTCTTTTGTGTCTATCCACTCGCAGCTGAGCTATTTTGCAAGTCTATAATGAGCTATTTCTCGAAATGTCTTGAGAGTTCCCTTTGAAGAGCCTTTGTTCTTGGACTTATTTACTTGCTTCATGCTGAACCACTACTTGTCCTCTCGTTATTGCTCAAAGGAACTCTGTAGTCTCATTGGTCTTAACGATCCGCATAATCACCACCGGTGGCTACCCCGTCGGAAAGCTGGTCAAACGCTGACTCAAGATTTGCTGAAAGGCACTTAGTTCCGTACTTGTTTTGAAATACAACAAATACGACAACTTACGACCCAGATTGCCAGTCACGCCTGGGTCCTATGTTTTATACATCAAGGTTATTACTGAGTTTGATCCAGTTTTACGGCTCAAGAAGCTACGTCAAATTGTTCTTAACCCCGAAACGCGGAGACATGAAGTAGAGAAGAAGAGCAGAATCATCGAAGGTGCGGCCAAGGACGGAACTCCGAGGGTGATTACTGGTACTGTAGTTCCAGGGCGCAATGTCGGCCTTGCTTGCGAGATTCAGCAGTATGAGCAGCGACGTCGATTCTCTTGTCTTCTCATGTCTTCACCACATGTGTGACAAAGATCACTATGTGTTTACATCTCGACAGGAACTCAAGGATCTTAAAGGATAAATTACTCGACCTGTGTGGACTCGCGCGCTCTGGAGAAAATTTAAGTGCTCAAAGGCGGAGTTTATTGCAAACTACATATGTGCCATATGCTATGTATCTAGCCACTGCAGGTCCTTCAAAGCTTTCAAGACAGCTTAATGAATCGCCCATCCCTTTCTGTATCTGAACTGTCTCACTTGCTCGCGACCCTCTCTATCCTCATATTCCCTCTTCCTAAATCTCGCCATCCTCGCCCTCAGCGCAGCTTCGCACTTCAACTCATGTTCCGTACGTTCCTCACCATTTTTAAAATACCCATCGCAGCCTTCACAGCTCCTACACTTCCCAGGCTTCCCATTCTCTCCATCTCGATGTCGCTTCAACGAACACTGACGCCCATTATACGTGTTATTACATTTCTTCGCATAACATCGCAACACCACATTAAAGTGTTTACTCGAACAAACGTGCTCTGCAACACGCATCGCAGACTCGTTCTGGAAATTGCAATTTGGGACGGGGCAGAAGGGGATGGGCGCTTTGGCTTTTGCCTCTGCGCTTGGGTAGATCCCGAGATGTCTCGCGGAGTAACGTATGTGTTGACGGACTTTGTAGAATTCTCTTGGAAGGATTTCTTCACAGCCGTTGATTCCACAGACGAAAAAGTCGGTTTGTTCCTCTTCTCTGCCTGAAGAATGGTGAGCCACACTGCATGCTTTTATTTCTCGCTATACTTACAGGAAAAGACATCTGTGCCGGCTGTCTCTGGGTATACGACTGAGCTGGGAACTGGTGTACTAGCTATGGACGAATTCTCTTCATTGTGTCTTGAAGCACAAAAGGAGCTAAACGATAATCAGTAAAAAGTGAAGCAGTAAAACGAAGTAAGTGCTTGAGCCACTAACCATTCGCCTTCGTCGAGATCCTCTTCCTGTTTAATGTCTTCTAGAATTTCCCCCTCTTCGAGTTCTTCTTCTTCTACTTTGACTTGCATCTGCCTTGGAGCAGCATAACCATTTGGCTGGCCCAGATAGCCATTCCAACGTTGTTGTAGATCGCTGGGAGGATATTTACTTGCAAACGTGGAGTACATCTTGGAGACAGGAAGTAGCTGTGTGATAGTGGTTAGAAGCAGGAGAACTTTGAAGAAAGACACGAAAAATTGTGCAATATGCTCGCTTTTTAAGCTCTCGGTCGACTAAGCTCTGTAGATGTGGCCCAACCACGATTTACACTCAGGAACAATGAAATGAAGAAAACGTCATTGTATTGCCCTTATTAGACAATGAGACAACACTTAGCCGTTGGCCACAGTACTTTGACTTGCATGACATGCGCAGCTGCGATTGTGGTTGAGTCGGAAGTATATGAACCCCAATCTGTGGGCTGGATGTAGATCCGGGGGCACAGGTTAGGCCTTAGCTGGTACTCACATCTGTTATATGCCTTGGGCTGTTACTCTGTGGCTTACTGACACTCCGTGGCTCCTGGTTCTCATCTTGTATCTCTCTGCGTGTTCATGCTTGAGGCCACTCTAGCTGCATCTTTACGCTCAGAATCCGGAGTTCGGTCCGGTGAAATAGAAATATAACGGAAATTGCATGTCGGAGCAAACTGCTAGTCTACAAGAAAGCATTGAAATAATCTCATGCAATTTTCGTGGCCTGTGGAACATGGTGAGCGGTGAATAAGATGTTAATATGGTGTATTAATGCCGTTAGCTCACCTTTGCATATAATGAGTCAACAACCTTGCCAACTTCCTCCACCGTCTGAATGGACGTCTCGTAAGTCTCCTACAGAAATCGTCTATCAGAGCAAGTTCTCAGTAGATGGAATACACGCACATCATTCTCCGTTTCGTCAAAAACGAGTAAACACCCTCGGCCTTGATCTAGCACTCCATGAAAAACCTTATCTAAGATCATCTTCGAGATCCTGAACAAAAAAAGTCAACAGACATAAATAATTATCAACATAGAACACACTTTGCTTCGACCTCCTGTCGGCTTTGCCCAACCTGCTGTGCCACATATTCAACCTCCACGACGGAATACGGCTCGATGATCCGTAATAGGTTTTGTTCGAGCAATGTATCGTATAGTGCGGCGAGATGCGTGCGGATTGTGGGATCGGATGAGAGCTCTGTATGGTCCGAAACAAAGCGCATGAAACACGAACTCCAGCATATCAGCGGTGACATACGAACCTTTGTTGTAATCCCGCAGAGTTTGTTCAAAGTCGGCGAGGTTGCGGTTCTTGTGCGCTCGAGCAATGGCTCGCATACACTCAACTTCTCGGAGCTCAGCGTATTTCAGGGCAAGTTTCATTGAAAGAAGGGATGTTACATCCTCTGGCTGTGATACATTTTGTCAGCGAATTTAGACAACAAGAACGCATCAGAGTGTAGACTCACGAGATTGAGCATGATTTTGCATAGAAGCATGTATTTGAGAGGTGTTAGTGCCTTTCCACCGTCTTCGCCATGTTCCTGTTGTGATAGATATTATATTCTAGGGAATAGTTTCTAAAGTAGAGATCTCATTTACCTGGCTTGATAAGTTCTCAAACGTCTCGTAGAAGTAGGAGTATGCAGTAGTGTAATCCTTGTCCTCGGCATGCAGGATACCCGACTGAAGATCAAGCTGGGCTTGTAAGTGTGGTGGACAATATATAGAGTTAGCAGCTGTTCGTGCTGAAGTCAGGGCTGCCTAGAGCATTTACAAATATGAGTAATATGTCGACATTAGCGTCGCGCCACATGGTCTATCGAAAAACATACCTTGCTTTTCGGCATATTTCCTGTCGCTCTGTATACACGACTTTCCAGTAGATGCACCTCCGTCAGCACCAGCTTATCGTCTAAGCGTTTGAGCTCGGTTAATAGAGTCCCAATTAAGGCTAAAGCTTCTTTGTATTTATGCGTCTCCAATTGTCTAAACCACCAAGCGATCAGTTAAGCCCTCCAAAGGGCACATAGAACATAACATACATGCCGACTAGACGTGTCTCTAAGCTGTGTTTCAGGAATATACGTTTCTCATTCCGTGCCCACTCGATGTTCTCTTGCAGGACATCAATGAGTGTAGCATTCGAGTTTGGTATGGGTGCGAAAAAGTCCAGTAATGTCCGAACTACGACAGCATTCAATATGCAGCTTTGCTGGTTCACGGACAAAATCCTTACTTAGTTTCGCCGTCTTTGCCTTTGCCGTTGACGACATGAATGAACGCGAGAGGACAATGACCTGCGCAAGACCGTTTGCATTTCTACAGTTCGAGTTAGTCCATATGAATATATAGAGTGTAGAGTATGTACGTACTTGTTATCACGATATAAGCCTCCAAGACTAATCAGTGCCTCCTCTTGCATTCGTAAACTACTCTCCCTCTCGGTCTGCGACACCTGAGCCTGTGCACTTGTTTCGAGAATGCGGCGGTAAAGGTCTTCGGCCAGCTTCGGATTTAAAGAACGCGCGGCTTGCGCTTCTGTGAGCATCTTTGATAAATCCGCCGCCGCCATCTTCAATATTCAAAGAGACAGAATGTGAGAGGTCAAGCAGGAAATGATGCAGGAACAGTAGTGTGGAGGTACGCGTCCTCCAATGCTGACGCGTCTTGAGGCCAGATTAGGCAAGTACTTCTCATCACTAAACGCGTCAGCTTACGCGTCTATCCAGTCTATCCACTAACTCTGCAAGTGTCCTCCTCGTCTACCGTCAACGGTCCACTGCTTTTTCTGTATTTGCGTGTTATTTCGTCCTCCAACGTTCTTCCAAGATGGCCGAAGAAGTCATTCTCCCAATTCCGAATCTCGAGTTACCACAGGCCCACTTTACCTTAAATCAATCCCAGTTGGGTCATTTGCACCAGGACGCGCTCAAGGTGCTTTTGCAAGGAATTGAGAAAGACCGTGAGTGGCTGCTCCTTTCAAGTAGCCGAGATTTATTCCTGATATTCAGCCGTTAGACATGGCTCCATACTATCGAGCTCTCATTGTCTTGCAGCATCCACCGACGTCACCGAGCGCACCATCGTCGCCAACCACTTCGCGACACATGCAGATCCCGTTACCTGAGGACAAAGCACTCTTAGAACGCATGGATGCAGCGAATGCTGAAGAACTGAAGAAGCTGGATGAGCGTCTAGAAGAAGCAGAAAAGACGGAAGGAGAGACTGAAATTGCTGATGCATTACGTGCACGAGCAATGTATTTAACGCGAATTGGAGATAAAGTGAGTACGAAGATTCTGTCTCTACTTCTTCTTCCTACATAATCTAATGTTCTAATAGGATAAAGCAATAGCAGCTCAAGAACTCGCATTCGAGAAAACTCCTGGAGTCGGTTCGAAAATCGATATTGTTCTCACTCTCGTACGAATAGGATTCTTCTTCGGAGACCATGTCATTATCTCGAAGAACCTCACTCGTGCAGAAGAGTATGTGTTTATCTTCTTTGCATAATTAAAGAATCATATTCACCTTCGCCACTCCAGGCTCATCGAGAAGGGTGGAGACTGGGACCGGCGAAACCGATTAAAGGTGTACCAAGGTCTCCACTCACTATCCATTCGACAATTCAAGCGGGCAACCGACCTGTTTGTGGATGCTCTATCAACGTTTACTGCTACGGAGCTTCTCAATTACAACGATTTCGTGTCTATGACCATGATTGCTGGTGCATTAACACTAAGCCGACCAGACTTGAAGAAGAAAGTCAGTGGCATAATGCGCATTTTTAATCAATCTTGTACTAATTTCTTTCCAGATCATTAATGCACCTGAAGTCATTCAGGTCATTCAGGAACTTCCAATCCTTGCCGAACTTACGAAATCCCTATACGATTGTCTTTACGACAGATTCTTTATCGCGCTCGGTATGTCCTCAATAATCCTTCTGCAGATCTCTCGCTAACGGAAGCAAATAGCAAAACTTGAGCAAACGCAACTCATCCCATCTCGTGTCCTCAATCCTCACGCACGGTATTACGTACGCGAAATGCGCATCCTCGCATACGCACAACTGCTTGAGAGCTACCGCAGTCTAACTCTTGAGAGTCTCGCAACTGCGTTCGGTGTATCCGTGCCCTTCGTCGATAACGAGCTCGCTCGATTTATTGCTCTCGGTCGTCTCAACTGTACGATTGATCGCGTACATGGTATCGTTGAGACGAACAGACCAAGTGCGAAGAATTCACAGTACGAGACGGTGATTCGACAGGGCGACATCCTTCTTAACTCGATACAGAAACTCAGTAAAGTCCTGTACTGACGGTGCTACCTTTGAATTGTACATTATCTTAGGAAGTTGCCCAAACTAGACTTTGCAGATTGGCCAGTCAAATCTTCCGTCCGCACAAGGACTGATTGCGATAATAAGTATATTTTGTCCCTCCATTGGGTATAAATTATAAGTATAAACTCCCCATCAGTCGGCACCGGCGAAGAAGACAAATGGAAGAATCATGAGCTTCGCCTTATCCCACTATTCATAATTATCAGTTCTCCACCACTTATACTATCGAGAATCAGGCACTGACCACATCGTAAACATAATACGGGTCATCCTCAATGAGTTTCTTGGCTGCCTCGTATGATTGAACTTTAATGACGAATGCAGAGCCGATAGCTTTCTTCTCGCCACCGGAAACAACCGATTCTGGGCTCATATATGGACCTCCACATTCTAAATATCATTTGCAAATGTCACGGTCATTAAGTCATACATTCAGAGAAAAAAGGGCAAGAACGAGGTAAGGACGAACTTAACGCGCCGCTCGCTGCCCGGAGCATCTGCAGTCGTAAGACATGTTGCCCATGCACGGCATCCCGACGCTGTTGGGCGTCCTCGTCCGTCCTGTACGGAGCGATGATTTGGAAGTAGATACCCTGGGAAGGCTGTTCTGAAGCCATTTCGCGGAGTAAGTTGGAGATTCTTGCTTTGAACTGAGCAGTGTTTTCGACTATCTCCTCTGCCATGAAGACCTTTCTTTAATTTATACCACCTCACGTCAAGCTATTTGTATGTTATAGCCTGTGCACAGTATTGTGTTTCTGGATAAAAATACCACTGGCTTTGTAAGAATATTTTCAAATGATTACAAAGAGCATCTCACCTTCGTTTCAAAAGTTGGCAGGGTAGGCGCAGATAAAATAAGGGTGATCAGATTTCCCCGTGAGTCAGCGCTGTTCTTGCCGACTCGGAGATTGGATACTTTCCCAGTGGGATTTCCCAATCGTTCGCTTGCACTCAATTTGTGAGTGATCGCATCAGAGTGTGCTGTGCAAAATACGTGGAATGTGCAAATTTGGTAGATCAATATTATTAGGACACACACAGTTGGACAAAAAACGTCCTCCGAAGCAATAATTAACAAAATGAATGAGTACGAAATGATAGGACACATTGCTCCTCAGTGACTAAGATTTTTCGCATTTTCATTCAAGAATGAGATTTGTTTATCCCTGAATGTATCTGGAATCATCGTCAAGTTGACACTGCTGAGCTGCATGACATCCTATAACAAGTCGGACCGTCAGAACTTGAACATGTGAGGCTCCGACTTCATTTACCTTAGACGAAGTAGTATATTGTGTCCACAAAGGTCCTGAATCACTTTGTTGGAACAGCAAATTTTAAAAGTTTCACATTCAAGAACTTACGTGATGCATTTCCGAGACCATCGTTGGGGTCAAGTGTTGTTGCAAAGGAGACCCAATAGTCGATCATGGTGCTGCTCAATACCACGGAGTCTGGTCCGTTCTGTGGCGCGCCATACACATACAGAATTTCAGAACCATGAGAAACTGGAAGTCCTTGTTAGATCAACCGACATATTTGATTTGAAAAGAACATTTCACCTCCAAGGAAAGGTTCGCCTGCTGTCTGCGGATCTGCGAAGAGGTATGCAAATGCCCGTACCCCATGCTCACTGGCTGTCTCTACTAGCTCCCGTCTTACAGAAACGAAAGCCAGATCACCCAGCACAGAAGAAACTCGTTTGAACTGTGGGCTCAAACCAAATGTTTCGTTCCCAGTACCATACGGGGACCCAAGAGCGGGAATATCGGGATACAGTTTAAGAATCTCGTCCGCTACCGGGTCCGGACCCGACATGGTTACCACGGGTGAAGAGGTGTTTGAAATAACCCATTCTCGAAGCTGTTCAGTCGAGTTAAAGGTTGTAGGGATGAAAAGGGTGCCTTGTGTCACCGTCAATTCTTTTTACACCAATGAAAAAAGAATGCGTCCAAGCTTACCTTCATCTAAGTTGGTTCCAGAAATGAACGGGATGCGTGAAAATTGGCCTTTCTTGAACAGCTTAGAGGGAAGATCAGGAATAATTCCACCAGGGCCATCGATCAAGGGTGCGAAAGGAAATTCGGAGGGTATAGTGCTGAACACATGGTTTGAAGCATTGATAATCGTTTCGGTACTCGCATTACGAAGGCAGCCAAATGTGGCATTACTTGAAGCGCCTTCACATTCAGGTACAGCGGAAACGAGTGTCTGCCAAACCAGTTCATGACTGGACGTGTTGAATAATCCATTCGAAGCCGCTGAGCCCGATTCAAGTATCTGCGGCATGTTCAGTCAATTTAAGTTTATTGAAGACAACAGCAATCAAGTACCGCAGCTCTAGCGAGATTAAACTGTGGATCGAGAAGTAGCTCCGCAAGTAAGATTGCCCCCGCACTTTCTCCAAACACAGTGACCTATGGTAAAGTGTGAGCAAAAGTCATACAGCAAAAAATTAGCCTACTCTGTCTTTATCACCACCAAAGGCCGCTATGTTGTTTTGAACCCATGTCAATGCAGCCAGAATGTCCTTATTTCCTAGATTTAATGCGCCTTGTGCTTCTGCTTCTGCACCTTGTGGAAACCCGAATGGGCCGAGTCTGTAATTTACGTTCACGTAGATGACTGGGCTACCCTATAAGGACATATGCATTGGTTTGGGCACGAAATTGATATCCACGAAGGGCGTACCCTCTGGACACTCTGCGCAACGATAGCACTGCCGTTGTACAACAAAGCTGCTCCGTCTTTTCGTGGTACACAAACACATGTAAGACAAACTCTAAGAGATGCAAACAGGAGAAACATACTTGAAAAGCCTCCGCCATACACCCAAACTAGGACGGGAACAAGTCCACCTTCCGTCGTGTTCTGGTCACTTGGTCGCAAGACGTTAAGGGTAAGACAATCTTCTGACATAGGAAGGCTGTCAATTGACGAGGCGTTCTCTCCAAATCCCAACTATCCCACAATTAGATTGAAAGTCAGTTTAGTTCGGATCTGTTGGTAAACTTACTCCTTGAGCGCAAGCTACTCCAAACTGAGTTGCATTGAGTGAAGGAACTCCTGGATCAAGTTTAACAACAGGAGGAGCGAAGCGCAAATCTCCGGTAGGTGGTTCGGCAAACGGGATGCCTAGAAGAGCCACCGGAATCTATTAGTTGATCTGCTTCTTTAAGAGCTGGAGATCACTTACCGCCGAAGAAATCTTGTTCGAAATTTGGGAGTGACAAGCCGGATATTATTGTATTACCTACTTTGACTTCCGGTAATGCATGAACGAGGTAGGAAAGGCTCAGAAGCGATAGTAGAAGGGCAAGCGGTGATGGAATCATCGTTTTCGAGCTACTGTATATCTTCGCATATGCTAGCACCTTTATATACCGCTGGGAACAACGGCTTCAGCCTAAAATATATTAGTATCACGCATACGAATATTTACGGCGGTTCATCGTGTCTGTGTAAGCGCCGAACCTGCCGATGACGACTTCTCTCTGCAGCTGACGTCCATGAAACGACAGTTCATGCAGTGAAAACCCGTCTACAGCCCGCGTTAGTATCGTGCGACTGTGCGACAGACGGGACCCGGCCCGCAAGCAAACAAAATGAAATATCAACTGACCAAACCAAAAATAAGCCTGGAAAGACAGCGATTACTGCACGTTCACTTGCTTGCGAGAGTATAGTAGAATTCGAAGACGAATTGAATGTGAACACGAGTTGAGATGCGTCATTGAATAACTTGTGCGCCTTGCTAAATGGGACTTTGGGCGGTTCTATGAAACACGATGATTGGCGTGTTTTGACACGACACAAAATATAGCCCAATATGGCGAGACACGATCACGTGCTCAGTCTTTCGGCGGGAAGATCTCGGATTCCGGAATCATATGCGTCGATCATGCGTGTGTGCAATATTATTATTATTAAATATAATTGAAGTCTCACGTCGTGACAGGACTAATCACATTCATTATAAATTTGTATCACATGTGATCAAGAAAACACTGATGTCCACCATAAATGTTTGCATTATGGACAAGAAAATTCATTAAAGCGATATGGGTTCAAAAGAAGGGAAGAAAAGTGACCGTGGTATACGACGTGATTTCCCAATTAGTTACGCACTAGTGGTCCAGAAGTGCACCCTGGTCTATCAGGAATGCAATTTGCTCCTGCCTGTACGTGTCGGGAATCATCGTCAAGTTCGTGCTGTCAAACTGAATGACATTCTGCTGCAAGTGAAGTCTGGTCAGTAACCTTGAATGCATCCGTATTCGTATAGTCCATGCACCTCAGATGATGTTGTGTATTGCGCCCACGTTGGACCTAAGAATTTAAAGTTAGATATTTACTAGAGAGCATATGTAAAGGATGAACGGGAACATACGAGACGAATTACCCAAACCATCGTTCGGATCGAGACTTGTCACGAAGGAAACCCAGTAGTCAATTATATTGTCGCTCAACGCCTCAGCAGGTGGCCCGTTCGGCGGAGCTCCAAAGACGTAAGCAACTTCTGCGCCATGGTAGACTAGATGTGCACGTATCAATGTCCCTGAGAAAAGAAAGTTCGGAGAAGAGGTACAAACCTCCGAGGTATGCAAGCTCTGGTTGAAGCTGCTTATCCGTGAACAAATAAGCATGCACTTTAACACCCTTCTCACTCGCCACCTGCGCTAGCTGCCGTCTCAAGGACTGAAATTCAACGTCACCAGCGACTGCAGAGAGCCGCTTATACTGTAAGCCCAAACCGAACGTCTCGTTACCTGTGCCATAAGGAGAACCAAGAGTAGGATCGTCGGGATAAAACTCAAGGATTTTATCAGCTATCCGGGTCTGGTCTTCAGCAGATGCAGTGGCCGAAATTATTGATCCGACGACGAATTGTCGCGCTTCCTCCGTTGTGTTCAAGTTCGTTGGGACAAAGAAGGTTCCTAGTCGCAATCATGAATGCCACACAGTCAGACGAAAAAAGCAGTAACCTTACCCTCATCCAATGTATCGCCTGTGATGAATGGGACGATAGGGACGCGACCTCCCGCGTAAAGCTTGGACGGAAGATCGGGTAAAACTCCTCCAGGCCCATCAATGACCGGCCTGAACGCAACTGAAAATGGGTTCACTTGAGCTGTCGCGTTCACGATCGTCTCTGTGCTGGCAGATCGCAGACAACTGAAGGTGTTGTTGGGCGTTGCACCTGCGCATTCAGGTACATTGGCGACAAGAGTCTGCCAGGCTTGCTCACGAGCCGTGGCATTGGTCACCGATACAGTAGCCGGCGAACCTGATTCAAAAATCTGGGGAAAATGAGTCAGTGTCGCGGGTCGATGGTAAAACACGTACCGCAGCACGAGCGAGGTTGAATTGAGGGTCGAGAGTAAGATGTGACAGTATGACTGCTCCTGCGCTAACTCCAGCGACTGTTATCTGGAGAGGCGAGTTAGTGTACTGAACGGAAAAATGCCGGCACATGTAAAAGCTTACTTGGTTTTCGTCACCTCCGAAAGCAGCTATATTCTGTTGAACCCAGGTCAAGGCTGATACCACGTCCTTGTGCCCAAGGTTCAGTGCACCCTGAGCTTCAGCTTCGTGACCTTGAGGGTACCCGAATGGACCAACACGATAATTGACACTGACATAGACGATCGGCGTTCCCTATACATATGATAACATAGCTGGTCAAGCATTACCCATCGCTCGAAACATTTAATGTGACAATACCCTTTCAACGCTCTGCGCGACGAGGAGACTGCCGTCGTATGTATATGCCTGTCCGTCTTTTAGAAACAAATTAATAGTAAGCAATGTGGCACATAGAGCATGAGCAAGTGCAAGACACAAAGTAGACAACAAAAACCCACTTTGGAAAGCTCCTCCGTAAACCCATAGCAAGACTGGTACGGGATTGGTGCTTGAGTTCACATTGGCAGGCCTGAGGATGTTTAGGGTAAGGCAGTCTTCAACCAGCGAGCTATTAGACCCGAATCCTGCCTGTTGCAAGCGCAAATTAAATAACATCCATTGGTTCAGATGATACAAACTGACCAGCTGTGCACAAGCTGCTCCGTATTGAGTCGCATTGAGAGACGCGACTCCTGGGTCAAGCTTATTGACTGGAGGCGCAAAGCGCAATTCACCAACAGGTGGTTCGGCGAACGGAATGTCTAATGATAGAAGCAAACATGTCACTTATTCTGTAGGCCTTAACAACTTCCTAGTAGTACGTACTGCCAAAGAATTCCTCCTGGAGCTCCGGGACCGACCTGCCAGATATCGTGGTATTATATATTTGGACTTCGGGTAGGGCATAGGAACAGCCCGAAAGTATTAAGACAAGAGGTAAGAGCACGGATGGATGCATGACTTGTTCAGGTACTGTAGAGCAGTAAAGCTCATTATAGTCGGCCTTATATGTTCTTGGTCAAAATCGCTCGTCGCACCTTTTTGCGGCAAAGCTTGAAGGCGCTAAGCCTCCACTGACAGCGACAAGGCGCATCAAACTGCGCATACCTGCGGCGCTTGCAGCGTCCATTAAATCAAGACAGACCGCAGCGAAAGTTGTGGTCACGGACAATATGAAAATGACAGAACTCTGTCTCGGCAGGGTTTACGTATTATGTAACCAACACCATCTCTGCCAAAATCGATCAGAGTCCGGAGCAAACTGAGTCGCCTTGTCTCTTGGCACGGTTGACGGAGCCGCTGCAAATACAGTAGGGCGCAGCATAACGTCAGCATGATTCCGACATACGGACCCGCCGTCTGCATATAACTCGGCCAGAACCTTCATAAACATAAGCCGAAAATCCGAAAGCACTTGCATCTAGAATTCCCAACAACTAAAGACTATAACACCTCGCATCCGGAGAACCCGATAATTATTCAGACGGTGTTTTCGACCCGCGTCAAGTGCATTTCAGGAAACCATACTGCAAGACGTCTATAGAACGGGAACTCCGTTTACATCGGCAGTGCCAAGAAGCACCTCCACAAAAATACCGCTTCACTATGGCTACCCCGCGGCACAAGGACATAGAAGCGTTTGTCAGTGTGAGTAACAGGGCTTCCGGTCGAGCTACTTACTAAATGTTAATTTAGAATGTACGGAGAAAGCAGGCTGCGACAGAGGTTAGTCAAATTCTCGAGTCTCGAGACCAGCTAGCATAGGTTGAAATACTTGTCATTGACTTGTTAGTTCACGTGTTGTCATAGACCATCGAGCGTGGAAGACAAGGCATAAAAAAAGTAAATTTATCATCAAGTGAACCGAAAATAAGAGATCAAATCCTTTAGACAACTTCGCCTCTGAACCGGACTTTCATTCCCCAAATAACACCGGCATGCGTTCCTCGTGCTCTCCTACCTTTGCGTTACAGAGGAAATCCTTAACACTCTCTGCAATCAGTCTATGCACCCGCGTCGTTGGATGCAAAGTATCGTTCCAGATTCCTCCAAATGCCCTGCTTGGGTCGTCCGTATTAAACCCGTGTGCCACTGGATCATCAAGTATCTCGCTGAACAGGTTCCATGCTGAAAAGACGAATACAGATGCATCTGGGTGTTCGTCTGCAAATCCATGTGCGTATGACCGGAGAATTGTGTTCCAAGTATAGTAAGGATCCTTACTCGACCTCTGAAGCTTTCCCTCTGAAAGGGGGTATAAATGTAGCAACGCTGATACAATGAAGAGACAAACGCACGGGATGAACCCAAAGGCGAGCGCTTCATAGGAGGAAGGTTTATGAATAAGAAGTTGCGTGCTCCCGCTTCGTATAGCTTCTCTTGAATTTCAAAGAGCCTGTCAATACTTTCTGCTGGATCAAAACGATACTTTCGTCTTGATTGATATCAGGCCCTGTGCTTCTTCGTTGAGACAAAAAGACTAAGTTCTGACCCGCAATCATTGCCGCCAATCCACGTAGCTAGAATCACGGGTATGTTAGCAATGCAATAATAGGCTATGTGCTGAAGTAAGGTTATCTACAAAACAGGGAGTTCCCTGCGGCCCAGGGAGCCCAGGACGGTTTCTTGCCGGCTTTCTCAACGAACTGGTCGGATACTTGCAAAACAACATCTGGGACAATTGCACCGCCCTTTGCATAGTCGAAAACAAGCAGGGGATGGACATCTCCAGACCCGGATGGACAGAGGTCCCGCGCGAGGTATCCGACCCAGTTAGGCTTACCCTCTTCGGCGTACGTTATTCCGGGAAATGGAACGCCAAGAGGTTCTTCTTTAGTTGGTGGCGGACATTCAGAATTATAGCCAACGTCACAATTGGATGCACCGCTGTGAGTGAATGTGAACACAGCTTATGTTAGTCAATTGGCGGGAGGAGAGAAAGGCAATAAACAGACTTGCAAGACAAAGAGATATTTAAGTGCACTGTAACCTCCCCAATGAGGTCCCATTAATGTCAGGCCATCCATCTATACGTATACGCCGTGAGTGAATGACTCACCGCAGATCTAGAGCTGAAGTCGAAGCTTATCAACATGTCGTGGCAGTGGAGACAGATCGCCAAATCAAGGGCACGTGATGTATTTCAAATTTATCTCTGCCGGAACGAATCTCAGTTTATTTCATACAAATCCCTGTTTACAATTTTTAACCTAGAAGGACACAGGTTATCAAGCAGGAAAAGATAGCGGTAGGAGCTCCAAGGAAAACTCACAAGATATCAAACCGAAAGCCAGGTATCCATCATTTCCCAGATTGCCTGAGCCTCATCATTCCATTGCTGCCTCATATTCTCAAGACATCCATCACAAGGCTGAGACCTTTCTCCGAGACTCTCGTCTGCTTCACGTTTCCAATCGAGTGTACAAAGTCGCCGCAATGTTGAGAATGGGTTCGCTGTTCCGTTATTTTCGAATGCCGGCTGAATCGCGCGTTCCATCCAAAGTGCAGCGTATACGTCTGTACAATACATATGCAGGGCTGCTGGAGGCTGGAAAAGGGTAGGAGAGAACGTTTCCGATAGTTGTGCCATCACTCGCTCGCAAATAGCTGCATCTTCCTTGGATAAATGGTTCTTGTGGACGACAGGTGCTTGTGCATTGTCTGGCTTTTTTGCACCTGGGTCTGCATCAGCAGAACCATCCTCGAATGTAACACCATCTTGTGTGGTGTAGGAATAATACAATGCCCGTTTGAGTGAACACCCAAGCTGTAGATACATTGAAATTGAGTATGAGCTCGAATTAAATGCGGGTTGATGTGTACCGATTTGTCTTTTCCTTCATCCAGAGAATCGAGAGCGCTCGCAATTAGGCTGTAACCGGAGAAGTCGATATCGAGCGGATTCCGGTGCATATATGCGTCAAGATGATTCTTCGCTAAACAGTGGATCTTCGCGAAATTTCCTTTCGAAGCAGACGAGACCATAAATAAACGCAGGATGTGCGCGAACGCGGTATCTTCAGTTATCGTTCTAGCTCATTCAATCGCAATAGTCAACTGAAATGCAAGGACGGAACTATGTACGACTTACATGGCATGCAGAATATGAGCGATAAGAGCTTCAAAATCTTCTTTTGCAATACCCTTCTCGGATCGGACTGTAAAACAGGGCAATGAAACCTCATCTTGCGTTTGGCTGAGCAAGCCAGCGTCAGGGGATACGTTGATGTGCCATAGTACTTTTTTACTTGCCCGTTTGCCAAAGCCATTGTTTGGCAGCAATCCGAGAAGAACTGAGGCGAAAGTCTAGTGATCAAAGATCGGTACACTCGGAACGCTGTGTCTTCAACGATAATAATGACAGAACCATCTTCAAGCCAGTAATCGGGATGTTTAATCATTTTCAGCTGATCAGGTTATCAATGTCGTTTCATGGTTAGAAGCCGAAGCCAAGCTCAGTTGTTGAATCTGAATTCGGTTGATTGAGTACGTGGGAATACACCTCTATACGTGGTAGCTTGGCAATCATCTCGTCCAGGCGCTGGCTGGTAGAATGCATGACATCATCAGTAATTATGGCACAGTCATAGTTCAAAGGCTCATTACTTGTAGAAATATGTTGATCTATTCACATTTTAGATATGAAGTCTTCTCATCCAACGCACGCACATGCCGCCTCCGAAACTCATTTAGAAAATGCGTAAAGAAAGTAAACTTAAATTTAAAGTCTCGTTCATCAGTGGTGGGTTACAGCTAGATAAACATAAAGATGGTGGTGGACAGATTAAAGGTACATTTAAAGGGATTAGCGTTCCAGTTCGAAGCATCAGAGTCAGGCACAGTCGTGACGCGATGGTTTGAGAGGCCAAGCAAAAGAAGGGTATTCAAAGGTATGCAAAGGAGAAGTTCGGCAGTAATCTACACACGGCTCGAATAATGCCTGTACCTCCCAAAGATACCGCCACACGTGCCGGCGCAGAATGCAAGGGCAAGTGCGACGAGAGCTCCAAGCGTCATCCAGTTGGCGTTCCCGTATTGCGCAGCGCTATCTGAGTTCGCTGCGTCACGAATCCGGTTGCGTACAATGCCGAAGAGGACCATGTCTATGATCCACACTACAAGTGTGACTAAAAATGCAAGAAGCGCGGCGAGGGCCATGAGAATGGTACCAGAGCGGTGGTATGCGGCGCCACAGAGCCCAAAAAGAACGGCAAGACCAGAAAGCGCTGCCGCAATAGGGTGCAGTATAAGTGCCTCCGTAAGATTATGCAAGGTATTGGTATTCAAATTGTTATTCGTCCTAATTAAAGAAATGGATGAGACAAAATATATATCACCAAGCGGGCTGTTTCTACTCACCCGAGGTTGGAAGGGAAGGAATAACCAATATGCGTCCCAGAACCAGTAAATCCGAATACACCAAAGTGAATCTCGGAACCGCCAGTGCGGACATTCAAGAAAGAGATACTTTCCCATGTCGGCGCAGATACGGATACAAATATAAGCAGCACCGCTGCAGCGAAGCAAAATAATAAACCCGGGACGGCTGGAGAGGCCATTGCGGTTACAGGTCGTAGGCCGATAGTCCTTCTTAGAGGCGGGTTGCTGGACTCTGTCGAAGCCCACAAAATTGAGAAATTTAGTAATTGTAGTGATTTGATAGGGGGGAACAGGATATAACTCACCGAGTGGAGTGATGAGACAAGAACGAGGATGCTCAACGAGAGACTCTACTACGCTTATATCTCTGCGAGTGCGGTCAAGACATCTACTAGCACCTGTGGGAATATGACGTAGGTAACTGCCGCATAAGGAAGTTTAAAACTTCGTGTGGCAATTGCAGAAATGCTACTCCACCCTCGCTCCTCTGACTTGTGCCTCGCATCTGCTGATCATGCATTCGGACCGTATTTTTCAATGCTCTGTGAGGCCTGTCGTGTTGCCTAAATAAACAAACGGAGCAAGCAAGAGGATGGGTAAAGAAATTGTCTAGCGAGTTGTCCTTGACTTTTGCCACGGTCACGTTGGTACTTTTTGACGCTGTGCAGGCACTGGTTTCCGCAGGTCTCAAACTTTCTAAGGTAAGGAAAGTATAAACTCGACATAGTGTGACGCGACAGACTAACCCAATTTGGATGCAAACGATGATGGCGAAATACGACACTCAGTATCCCAAAAATGCAAATTTGAGCTGCATAGATATATTCAGCTTAATCTAACCTACAAAAGTATGTTTTTGATTTTTTAAAATATTGAGATTCGAGTGAGTTATTTCCAAAAAAAAAAACTTTTTTTTTTGATACCAAATGTACAGAAATGCAATTTGGTGAAATTTTGAATTTTTTCCTGAAGATTTTTGCCACTTCGGTTAAATATCTATTATATAATTATTTCCTTATATAGAACACGTGCCTGATGAGTAATGTACATTTGATCAGTAAATATCAGCTATTTAGACCCATTTTCCTCTGTTCTGCCTATAATGCCCTAGAAAAGGAAGGGATAAAGCCAGAATACAGAATCTGAGGAGTGAT